ACAGAGTTGCTCGGCACGGTCACCATAGGGATGGATAGCCCTTTGGTTAACCAAAGCAGATGCACCGCGTTGTGAACTATTGTTCACCGGAGCTCCAGTTTCAGAGTGATTATCGTTCAAACCGTTCAAAGCATTCTGCCCAACAACATTTTTGTTTTCTTGAGAAGTCATTTTTCTGTTTCTTACGCCCTTCGGAAACACAAAAACAAGTTCGTTCACCAAGGTGACAAACTACAAGTGTAAGATTGTTTACCGTAGTAGAACAATCACCGAATACGTTTTAAGTTTGTTGGGTGTGTTTCGAAAGACAAAGAAAATTAATTAATAAAAATTAATTAAATAAAATGACAAAACGAAAACAAGAAATGAGATGAAGCAGAACAAGTCAAAGCTCGTGCAATGCACGATTTCCTTAAAACGTATTCGTTGCCTCCCGGGGTGCTAGGAGCGTTGCAACGATCGTTTCCCAGGATACGATGACTTCGAACGATAGTTTAGCACTCAAACTATGGTTCCAACGAACAAGAACAATGCCGTGAACACTGAAGGAATTTTTCGGAGAAGACTGGAGTGTTTTTTTTAGCTAAAAGAGAGTGCAGTACGTATGTGTGTTGTGTCTTTTTGCAAAGCAGCTACCAGCCTTTTATAGGGGTGGATTTGCATGTGTTAATGGCCTGTTTAAGGCATAGGAACGTTGGACATCAATGCCCAACGTTTGGGACATTGATTCCAGCCAAAAACGTGTGCATTAAGTCCATGAACGTTGGACATTATGGCATATGGACGTTGGGCGAGCTGGAGAAAAAAAATGGAACGTAACGGAAGAACAAAAATTAACATTATCTTTAGAAGATAGGATTTTCGGACGGCATTCGTGTCCGCAGATCGCCCGCAAGTCGCGCTTTTTGTTCTTCGGTTTCGGGATTTGATTCGCACCCCCCCTGCGCGCGTGAGAGAGCCTTTTCCTTTAGGAAGCTTAACTCCTTAGGGGGGGTTTCCCTTTATAAAGGGTTCAAATTCCCTTGTGATTTTCGGTGTGGGAAAAACCCACACAAAAACCCACCTTTTCCTAGTTTTCTCCATTCCAACGGGTAAACTTCGAAAAGCGATTTCTCATTCACCCGTTATCCGTTTTGAGCGTACCATATATCGAATTGTAGCCCTAAGCAAGGACAATCCGAAACCACTTTGACCCGACCCAAATCAGAAGTGGACCCCGCTCAAAAAATTGCCCCAAAATGACCATTTAATGCAATTTAACACACTTTTTCCAACAGATATATATTTATTTCCTAATATTTATGTGGCTATCTCTCATATCATATATGCATCGTGCAAGATTTTGGTATTAAAAGTGTCTACCCTACCTATTTATATTGCATTATTGAATGATTTAGATTTAGTTTTATTTTGTAACGAATTTAGATTTGGTTCTTGGGTAGTTATTTACTTATTTGATTCACGGTTTTTGTTATATAAATCCACAAACTTTGAAATTGGAATACTAATGATGAATCCCTAATGGGAAATATAATAATGGCATTTGGCGTGCTACTAATCCTGTGTGTGGTTTAAACTAATTAATATACTAAGAAACTACGTTGTTGTAGAAACTCATGAAAAGTATCATTTACACAAAATTTAACGCCGCATATGCGTAAAATGTGTCGTAAAATGCCCATTATGTTTATTCATTCTTTTCAATTCATTGCTTTGAAGAATTCAATTCAACCTCCGGTTGGTGCTTTGATACGTAGAAACATTCAACAAGCCTTTTGACATAGACAATACCAAATAAATACTCGTATTTATAGTTTTATATATAGATGTATGTGGATGACAAACACAAAATTGAAAGTTTATAATTAATCTAGTGCACTATGTTACTACCAAAAACAACTCGAACTAAAGTACTCCGTAATAATTAACTATAAAAATAAAAATTACTACTCGCACTAGTCTATTAGTTACTACTAATAAGTGAGTAGTATTTTAATATATATTTTATATTTTGTTAAAAATTGTATATTTTAAAATAATAATTCTATTTCTTTGTTGACCGGGTTTTCCGGGTGTTGACCGCTTCCCGGTCCGGTTTTTACAACATAGGTTTTGGCAGCACCAGACTTCAAACATGGCAGTATTTTCCAAACTTGACAGTAATTACTCCTACTTTGAGAATAAAAAATATAGCAGTCCTATTTTGGAATTGTTAAACTGTTTTAGTCCTATTTCGGGAGCTTTCTCTTTTTAATATGTTAGCACACATAGGACCTCCGCCTACCCTTTATAAAAAAGGGTAGGACCTCCGCCTACCCTTTTTTATACATTCACGTTCTTTATTTATTTGGAAATACGCATGATGATGGATGAGTGTTGAATTACTCTACCTCAAAATCGAACTACGCTTTAGTGAAAAATACAGTAATTAAAAGTAATGAAAGTTACTACGAAGTACAATAGTAATTTGGTCATTTCTCGATTTTTCATTTCCAAACAAAGAAAGAAAACGTGTCTATTTTTAGAAGGGTTTTTTACAAGAATATTACCAAAATAAAACATATTTACATAAATATGATTATTCATTACTACAATGTGGTGTTGTGGTAACTTAAGCTCAAAACTTGAACATAATTACTATGATTTCATTACTACTCTAGTCACTAGTCATATTCTTGTAAATCATCTTTATTAAGGGTGAGCATGGGACGGTACGGGACGATTATTTCGAAAAACCTGTCTCGTCCCAAAGTACGGTTCTTTTAAAAATCAAGAACCAGTACCGTCCCGCATATTTATAGAACTTGTCCCGTTCCGTACCAATTTTCGGTACGGTTCGGTACGGTTCTTCAGTGTTATTTAGTTCCTAAATAATTAACCCCCATGAAATATAAAAAACTTTAGATTTTAACATTTATAAATAACTCTACAAAAATTTAAGAGAAGAACTTGCAAGACTACATTTAATTGATCTTGTGTGATCATATTGAAATATGAAACTAATAATCAAACTATAATAAAGAAAAGTAACATCCAAACTAAAAAGCAAAAGTGGTCATCAAACTGAAAAACCAAAAAGTATCACATCACATGACAAAGAATATGCAAGATTGCACATTTGTAATGACATACGGTCATTAACATTTACACTTGGTAAAATATATTATATATAATATATAATTATATTATAACACTAGTTTTCGGGACAATTTGGTACGGTACGAGATGGTTCGGTTCAATACGGTTCCGGGACGGTTCCGGAACGGTTCTCACTAAGAACCGGTACCGTACCATCTTATTAAAAAAGCTCGGTACGGTACAGTACAGTATTACATTTTTCCGGTTCTATCGGTTCTGGAACGGTTCGGGACGGTTCTTCGATACAGAACGGGAATTCCCAGATCCGCGCTCAACCCTAATCTTTATTTTGATCATATTTATGTAATTATTTCTTGTTTAGAACGCCAAAACACATAGGTAAAAAAAGTGAAAAGTTATTATTACAAAAACGTGAGCGAGAGGAGCACTAGACGGCAAAACCGCACCGCCCCTTGTCTCGGTGTCTGTTTATATTCTGGAGAGGATATTATCACATTACTCAAGTCATATTGGTTGGTTAGTATGATTTCTCTTTTTTGCTCTTGATCAATCACCCGTTTCCTTTCGGCTTGATACATAGCAGCTTTTTGTTCATCTCCCATGGGGTATATCATCCGAAGGCTATTTATATAAGTTGTTAACTCTTGAATCCTCCTCCGATAGGCCAATAATGGGAATACTACCTCTTTTCCACGCTAACTTAGTTGACGCCTTGGCCCGTTCACAGATGCACTTGATGATGACGTTATTAATAGCTAAACAATGGAAGGGAACTACAAAAATATCAATATGTTATTACACCATAGCTTTGAGCACAGTTCAATTTAATGAAAATAACCGAACATTTTGATAGCAAGAACAATTTTTAAAGGAAAATTTAGATTTAATAATCCCAACTATGCCCGGTCCGCCTTTAATAATCACAATTTTTTATTATTAGTGGGTGGTCTAAACTTAATTGGGCCTTTTCTACTAATGGTCCCCACCGGCTGAAACCTAATCCTTCCCTTCTTAGCCGGTAAAATCAGGGGAGATCATCTGTTTATTTCCTATTAATTAAAACTACGCCGTAAACCAACCTGTTTAGATTCTTCTTCTCTTTCGTTTATAATACGCTACCCCCTTCCCCAAACCTTCTTACTTTTTTGTACCCGTCCAATCTAAGAGCCCCAAGAGACCAGATAGCAGGTAATTCAAAATGGTTTATGCTGGTGGTTCATCTTCGCGGGGAAGCAGGTCCGAAATCAAAGCTTCACGTGAACGAAGTGTTGAATGTTTCCAACTTTCCATAATGTGTATTCGAACCCTAGAACTGTAAAAAATGGCCCCAATATTGGACGGCATTTCTATGGATGCGCTCTATGGCCAGTAAGTTGGTATTTAAATATTAGTTTTGATTAGAACTGAAACGTGATATTGTTGGAAAATTGAGAGTATTTCAAATGAATAAAATATTATTGTTAAAATACATTGGGAGTATTAAATGTGTTTTGGTTTTATCATCTTTAGTAATAATGTTAAGGTAACGTTTACCGTCATTAATCTTTAGTAAAATAGCATTTTCATGAGTGTAGTTTTCTAAACGTACGTTTGCAATTAGCTTGGCTGCATGGGGAATCATTTATCATTATTAATTATAATTAATTAATATATTATTTAATACTTGAACGTTACTTTGAGTAAGGAGTATATATACTCGATGCATAGTGCACAACGGTGAAAAAATATGTGTTTTAAGAGGGGAATAGTCATACTCAAATCTTGAGAAAATGAATACATTACTCTTCGTAGATTAATACGTGTGTATATGCTTTACTTCTAGATGATAAAGTATATACGGTGATGTAGTGTGTATACAAGTATTCGGCAAATGAACATTCTTTTTAGTGATTATTTTGCAGGTCAATTCTCGGAGCTAGATAGTGACTGGGGTCAATTTAGGAGCAACACGGTCAACACGTTGATTTTGGAAGGATAGAGCCAACAATCTAAGGAATTATTTCCGGCGTACGGAAATTTCCCCCAAGATATAACGAGCCCTTCGATTATAAAATCGGTGCCAGAACTAACGAGAAGAAACAATATATGAACCCAGTCTTGGAAGGATTACAAGCGGGATCTTAAGCATAAGTTTGGGCCGATGACTTTCAATGATGTTGTCACTCACATTATCATTGAAGATACTAATAGGAGGGAGAGCTCCAAAGCTCAAGCAAGAGAATTCACTTCAAATGCTAACCTTGTGGAAACTGAAAATAAAAGGAGGTACGCTAATAATAATAATAATAATAATAATAATAATAATAATAATAATAATAATAATAATAATAATAATAATAATAATAATAATAATAATAATAATAATAATAATAACTTTAGGCCTAATTTCAACAAGCCCAAACACACTACCAACTTTAAAAAGAAGGGAGATTGTTTTGTTTGCGGGAAATCCGGTCACCATGCGGCTCAGTGTAGAAAAAGGGCAACTGTGAGAAACAACAATCCACCTAAATCAAGTGCAAACTTGGTTGAAGGTGATGATATAATCATTGCGGTTGTCTCACAAATTTGTTTAGTAGCGGATGTGAAAGAATGGGTAGTAGATTCCGGAGCTACTAGACATATTTGCCAAGATATAAGTGTATTTTCCTCCTATACTTCAATAGGGGATGAAGAAGAATATGTGCACCTTGGTGATTCTAGAACAACCAAGGTTCATGGAAAGGGCAAAATAAATCTTAAGCTCACATCCGAAAAAACCCTAGCACTGAACGAAGTACTCCATGTACCCGAAATCAGGACCAACCTGATTTCTGTCTCTCTTTTGGGAAAAGCTGGTATAAAAGTTTGCTTTGAATCTGACAAGGTTGTGTTGACAAAAAACAACATCTTCATTGGTAGAGGCTACAACAATCAGGGATTGTTTCAGTTGAATGTTTCTGAAGTATTGAAATAAGTTGTTTTTTTTTCTTTGTTTTAATCAATAAGTCTTGCGTGACATGTTACTCTTTTGTATGCACGTCTTTAAATTATGAAATTTCCATTAAATAAATACAATCTTTGTTTACAATGTTTTATGAATTGTGTTGAGATGGTTAATGTTCACGGTTAGTATACTAGGGCCACGTAATGAGCCACGTAATGATTCTTTTTCACTATTAAAATGAACGGTTTAAATTAAGTTGGGATCTTCGGAAAGTGTTTCCTTAGTAATTCAAATAGCAATTGGGAAATTCAGTGCAACTTGGAATTGCCATTTTTTAATCATTAATTTGCTTTGTTAATCCTCAAATTTGTGAGAGCTACTAAATATTATCGTACTTCAACTATGGCTCTTGCATGTGCATGTTAGACTGTTAGTGGTATTTTTAGGACATTTGAGGAGAGGTCATGAGTGGCTAAGTAATCCACTTATCTTATCATCTCAATTTTTTCTTTTCATGGCAAATGTTTACAATTAATTTTTATAATTGTTCTGGGTGTATTATAGATGGACTGTGCATCTACGTAAGTACTTTGGAACATAAAATTTGTGGGGATATGGGGTGCCGAATTCTAAAGGAAAATGGGCTCAATTAAAATATATTAGCTAGTGAAATTGTGTGGCCAATATATATTGCTGAAATTTGTGTGGCATAATTGCAAACTTGAGAACTAGGAAAGTTACCTTAAAAGTTGAGTTATTTGGAATAGTGTAATAACTGCACGGTGTTCTTAAGATAATAAAAATAATTTTAAGGTAGAATGTTGATCGTTTACTATTATTATAATGAGATATGAGATACTAGAGAGGTATCGTTGATTGGGAATGTGTATGTTGTATAAGAGAGATGCAACAAAGATAAATTATTATTGGGATAATTTGTTGTACCGGAGAAGCATACTAATATGATATTTGAGAATTATCCATTGTATTATATTGATACAATGATGGTATATATAGCAAAGTGGGAATTGTTCGATGTGTTAGTGTGTTACATCGATGTTGTAAATGTTATTGAGATTATCTGATCCGTTGTATTACCGGGAATACAACGATGACATCTGAGTATACTCGCATGTGATAGTTTGAAATAGTGAATATCCATTCACCCTTAAAAGTGGTGCAATGATGTTTGAGAATGGAAATATCTCCATTAAATTTGTGAAGTTAGAAGGAATTGGCCACTCCTTTGACAGAATCCCTAGGACGTTAAATGATTAATTTTAAATATCGAGGGAAATGGACTAATGTCACATTGAAATAAATATGGATGGTAACCCAACCTGTGTGATTGGAGATCCCATGAAGCAGGTTCAAATGGGTAATAACAAGTCTTCTATTTATTCTGTTAGCCTATTTTAAATGTTCATTTCCATGATGTGGGAAAGGCTAAACTGCATTACTCTGTGAGGTTGAGCTGATGCTCTTAGTGATTTTCATATTCATTATGAATGGTGTGTTAAGTGCGGGACACACTTGATGAAATCACCTATATGAGTGTGAGGTGAGGCCGCTTCCATGAAGCACTGACAATGCTTCTAGAGCACTCAAGAACACCAAGCACGCGCATGGCCTAGAGGCGCACAACGGCGTTAACAACGAGGAATTGTGGGGGGTAAGACATGACCATTAAGACACTGATTCACCAATAGTAGCTTGTTGGTTCAAGAAACTATACGTTTCACCAAAAGCTCGGTTTATTAAGACTTAATCGTCTCGGTTTGGTTCAAGTCTACGGATACCAAACTTAAAGTCTCATTCCTTTAATCCAGCAGAAATTTTCTAAACTAAATTCTCAAAAATCTCTAAACATTCATTTGAAATATGTGGGGGATTATTGGAAGAATTAGGAGTATTTCAAATGAATAAATATTTTATTTTATTTTATTCATTATTAATCATTAAATTTAACACCTATGGAATTGTCAACGTGCCCGAAATTCTCTTTGAGACCAGCGGTGAAAATTCTAGCTCCCGCTAAATGATCAAGTTTGTGGTATGCGTTTATCACTATTCTCGTTACAAACAACCTTTAGTATAAACATCATTTTTTTATATAATGAAAATTATGGGGAAAAAAAATTCCATCAAAATAAAAATAAATTTTGTTGCGGGTGATTATATAATTATTGCGGTTAATTTTTAATTTGGATAGAGACGGATGTGAATGAATAATTGGTAGATTTTGAGGCTACAAAATTCATTTGCGAATGCAAAACTATTATCTTTAAATAACGTATTCCAAGTGTCCGAGTTTTGATTTATTCCAGTTTATGTTTCCCTTTTGAAAAAAAAAATGTGGTTTTGACTAATGGAAAATAATGAGTAAATTTTGAGACAAAGTTATTGTAATCATGAATTTTGTGTGCCAAATATTTTAAAATTACTGAGTGAATTTATACTCTTTTCAATTTGCTTGATATTTTTAATATGTGGCATATTACTTCTTACGCAGTGTCATGTAATGTTAATGTGAATAGCCGAAGTTTAAAGATATTCATATGAAAAGCTTGCCCGGTGCTTAAAAGTTAGAATTGAACTTCATGTATTCCCAACATTATAAATTTATTATAATTATTGCGTATTAAATTTTTCTCAAAAAAAAATGTTATGGACCATTTCTTTTATATGAGAATTGTCTATGAGCCTAATTTTTTTTTCAAATATTCAAAATGTAGGGGTATTTGAGATACAATAATTGTTGTGCATGTGTGTGGTGTGCTTTTATATGCGTAGTATATTATACTGGGTGTTAATTGATTTGTAGTGAAATTCAAAAATTGTGGATGCAAATAATATGTGTCAATTTTATTATTAATTGAGCGTGGAGATATATTGAGTTGGATTTAAGGATAATTTTGTAGTTTGATATTGTTCATTTTATAGAAATTTATCTTGATGCTCAAAGTGTGAATTTATTAAACTTAACACACTATCTGAGATCCGGCAAAATTGTCGGAAGATTGTGATGAACTCGAAAACACAAAAATGTATTTGGTGAGCTAAACAACCATTGTATTAACGAAATACAATGATGGAATAATTTATTGAGAATTATCCATTGTATTATTACGATACAATGATGTCATATATATTCTATCAAGTTTTCTGTTGTACTAAATGAGTATAACGATGACACAATTTATCGAGAATTATCCGTTGTGCTAGAGTGATACGACGATGTTATATTTGAGTGTTATCCTTCATATTATAATGGTATGATGATGTTATATACATTATAATGATGATTTTTTTATACACACTAAATTTTAATATGTTCTTTAAATTTAAAGGTGAGCTATGGTAAAATCTTGGTGTGCAAATAAAAGTTGAGCTAGAAATTATCTTCATAAAATAGATATTATTGAATTTTAGAAGAGTTATGCACTTGGTTTGGAATAATTAAAATTGTGGGGGCGCTTAGCTAAATTTTTACTACCTATCTCATTGAGTAAAAATGAGTTTTGCAACTTTTGGATGCTCTTACGTAAGATGAAATAGTGGAGCATATACACGGTTTTCTTAAATTGAAGAATTAATCTGCTAGTATGCAATACTTTAAACTATAATATCTTTGAGATTAATGTGATAATTTTTTTTTAAAAAAAATGTGTATACATTAAGTGGTGCATTAGTGAATATTTTTTGCTGGGATTTCTTATATGCTTATTTCAATAGCTATATTGAGTTGATATATAAATATAATAAAAGTAATTTTGAGTATTAAAATCACAAGGATGAATGTTTGTATTTCACTATCATTACATTGAGAATCTTCTTAAGAAGTTTGACATTTCAATGTCAAAATGTGAATATCCCTTATGACTTTGATAAATAAATAAAAAGTGTGAGTTTGTTACAATTAAATGTGTGTGACACTTCATGTTTTTAAAATGATGGAATTGAAGATTGAGCCAATGTATGAAATCCAAATGTGATGGTTGGGATACCTTAAGTTATTGAGATATTCGAGAGGTATCATTAATTATGGTTCAGATTTTCCGTTGTAATATATTGATACAACGATGATATGTTTAATTGAGAAATATCCGTTGTACTAGAAAGGTACAACGATGTTATATATGAGAATTATCCATTGTACTATAATGATACAATGATGATATATATTTCATTGAGAATTATCCGTTAGGATATAACATATTAGTGAAATTATCCGATATACAAAAGTGTCACATCGATGTATATTTTGTTGAGAGTTATCCGTTGTATTGCCGGGATACAACGACGTAATATGAGTCGACTCACATGAGATAAAATAGTGGATATCCATTCACCCTTAAAAGTGGTGCAATGATGTTTGAGAATGGAATTGTTCCATTAATTTTGTGAAGTTAAAAGGAATTAGCTACTCCTTTTGATAGAATCCCTAGGACGTTAAATGATAAATTTAAACATCGAGGGAAATGGACTAATGTCACTTTGATAACAAATAGGGATGGGAACCCAACTTGTGTGATTGGAGATCCCATGAAACAAGTTCAAATGGGTAATAACAAGTCTTCTATTTGTTCTGCTAGCCTTGTAAAATGTCCATTTCTATGATGTGGAAGGCTAGACTGCATCTCTTTGTGAGGTTGAGTTAAAACTCTTAATGACTGTCATAGCCCTTACGGGTGGTGTGTTAAGTGCGGGACACACTTGATGAAGTCACCTATATGAGTGTGAGGTAGGGCCGCCTCCATGAAACATTGACAACGCTTCTAGAGCACTCAAGAAAACCAAGCACGCGCACGGCCTAGAGGCGCACAACGGCGTTAACGACGAGAAAGGTGGGGGTGAAAAATGATCCCCTAAGACACTGACTTACCAAAGTAGATTATTGGTTCATAGAAACTATACGTTTCACCAATAAACTCGGTATTTAAAGACTTAGGCGTCTAGGTCTGATTCAAGTCTACGGACACCAGATTGAAAAACCTCACCCCATATATGAAACCCAGTAAGGAATTAATATTTTTAAATACTTAATATTATTCATTTGAAATATGTGGGGGATTGTTGGAAAATTGAGAGTATTTCAAATGAATAAAATATTATTGTTAAAATACATTGGGAGTATTAAATGTGTTTTGGTTTTATCATCTTTAGTAATAAT